CATCACATATCACATCAAGAAGGGTTCCTCTTCTTCTCCTGCTTGGTAAATGACCTTCCATCATGTATACCTTATAAAATTATCCTTGTGTAGAAATTCAAGCCTATCACTTGCCAGCGTGAATATTAGCCCCCACTCTACCCCGGTGGCGCCCTACAAATATAAGAGAAAATGCAGACTGGGACAACTTCAAAGCTCCTTATATGATTATTGCACCCATTTACTAAATTCCTTTGAAATTATTCTAAAAGAAATTATTGTCTAATTTATATGAGAAACTAAAATTTCTTCAAGAATGTTAGTGATGATGTTCAAAGACAATACAAATAACTCGTCAATACGTAGAGAAATATTATCATTGTCTAATTTATATGAGAAATTAAAATTTCTTCAAGGATCTTAGTGATGATGTTCAAAGGCAATAAAAATAACTCGTAAATACATAGAGAAATATTATCATCACAATATCACATGTAAGGAATATTTCAAACATTAGTTGTGGTGAACTGGTGGACGAGGCTGGATAGGCGCCTGGGGCGTAATAATAACAAGGGGCACATTAGAGAGAACACACGGTAGGAAAATGTATTCAACTTGCCTGATCATATTGATCGACTCTGGGGGGCTTATAAAGCAAATTACAACTTGGAGGAAAAGAAAAAACTCTAGTTGAATTTGGAGATAGTAGAAAAACCTTCTTCGGGACGAACCTTTCCATATCCAAACTCTTACTCTAAACTAATACTTCCTCCATCCCAAAATAAATGTCTCAACTTTGTACTAACTTTACTATAAAGTAGTATTAGAGTTGAGACACTTATATTAAGACGGAGGGTGGGTATTAACTATGGTAATTAGAGATACTATATGTATTTCAAATTGGGTGGTTGCCTGCAGTGACATGGTCTCCTAGTGTGGAAGAATTGGGCCTTCTCCGTCGCTTGTATGTGGGTCCCACATTACATCAAGTTCATCATATATCACTTTGAGAAGGGTGCCATTTCTTCTCCAACTTGGTAAACACGCTTCCATCGTATATACCTCTAACACTGTCCTTGTGAAGAAATCCAAGCCAATCGCTTGCAAGCGTGAATAATAGCCCCCACTCTATCTCGGGTGGCGCCCTACAGAATATAAGAGAAAATGCAGACTCAGGCAACTTCAAAGAGTCTTAAGCGATCATTGTACCCTTTACTGAATTCCTAGTTATTCCGAAGGAAACTATAATCAAATTTATATGTGATATTCTACTTCGAGAATGCAATTTTCACAAACAATTGGTAGACTAAAAACTTACCATGATATCGGGTCTAGATCTCGTTTAGCAAAGAGCATCGCATGCATCTCTGCAAGTGTCAACGCATCTGGCCGGAGTATTGCATATGTTTTGAATAATTCCTCAAACTTTTGGGGAAGAAACCTGCAGCTTGTGATGTTAGAACATGTATGAACTTGAAATTTTCAAAACACACACAAAAACTTTAGCATTTCATCACTAGAGTAACATAATAAAAAGGGAAGTATATCATAAAACCAAATGACAAAAGCCAACTCATATTTTTTTGTTGACGAAACCAACTCATGTATATCTAAGTAAGAAACTACAGTAGGTGTTACTTACTGAGAATGGCGTTTTGGAGGCCGAACTCCATGGAGGCCTTTATTTTTCAAAAAGTCAAATTCAAACTTTTATGTTTCAAAAAATTCTGAAAAAAATATGCATGTATGTAAGGATGTAACCCACATGTGTGTAAAATTTCATGATGAAATACGTTGAAATGCGACCTGTACAAAAAAGACAAATTCATGGTCTGGGAGGATGAATAGTATCATGTGTTTTGCACAGCCCTCATTTCAATGGGTTTTGCCCTGAAAATTTACACACATGTGTGTTATGCCTTCATGTATATCTGTACTTTTTCTCAGAATTTTTTGAAATGTAAAAATATGAATTTTGATGAAATTTGAATTTTGAATCTGGAGGCCTCCAGTGAGCTCGGTCACCAAAGGCAACTTCCGTTGCTTATGCATGTCTATATATGTTTCTAAAAGAGTCCATGGCTATATACAGGTATAATTCCTTTGATTTGTAATATAAGTAGCTTCAGGCATTGATGCATGTGGTCTCTAAAGCATCAATTTGACCATTGTTATTTTCTAAAAAAAATGTGTTGTTCCAAATAAAATAATTTACACCCCATAAAATGAGGAGGTCGATGCTGTGAGGAAAAGGGAGGGGTCGGGGTGGCAGCAGCTAGGGTTCCGCTTAGCCTCCCGCGAGGAACAATGCAAGCGGTCCATCTCCTTATTTTTGGGTTGACAGATGGTCATAAATATTGCAAATATATGTAATTTCATATGGTTTATGAGATGATGAACTTTTATAAAATTTGACTATAGTTAAACTCCATACATATTAGCAAAAACCAAAGAAATTCGAGCTGCCACCACTGTTTTCCCTTCAATTTTCAGCATGCGTGGGCTGATTTTACTAGATATGAAACCGGACATGCACTTAGGTAAAGCAAGTGATTTTAACTACCTTCCTTTAGGATCGTATACACCCGAATCACTTCCATGCATAGCTTTGTGGATATTCTCCACGTATATTGTCAAGTGAGGCAGTGGTGTGCCAGCCTGAATTGAATAAGACATCATAACACATCCGAATTAGTTATCTGCAGGCCCACATGTTTCTGTATGTGTAAGACAGATGGGCTACCGGGGTTGTTTGAGGAGCAAGGGCACCATGAATGGAGGCTGAGGCAGCAGTAGCAAATGCATACTCGCAACCGATTGCAACAAACCCTGCAACCTCAAAGATATGTTTAATATATACAAATAAAAAATAAATTATTATACGTAGGATTCCATGTGAAATTGTAGACAAGCTTTATCATTTGTTGCTACTCCGAAAGCTATCAGAAAATGGTCTTGCATGTAATTTTGGCATTTTGCTTGAGATCAATTAATCACTTTTGAACATTGGCAAAGTTACCTAACATATTGACTGATATTGTGGCAAAAGAAAAAAAGGGAAATGTTTCACTTAATTAAAAGAAATATAATACAGTTAGTACAAAGAAGTTGTAAGCACACATAGCAAATCAATACTAGTATAATAAAAGGTGTATTATTCTTCACATGTACCTCAATCTAAAGTTAGAAGCTTCAGATGCATCATTTGAAAAAACAGTGCATATGCATGACATCTACTGAAGTAATAAGCTTGCCTAATTTCCTCACAAAAGGGGGAAAAATAACGATCTTGCCTAATTTGTTGGATAAGCACAGTCACCTTGGATGGTTTCCACAGGAGTGATGAAGCCATCCTTGTTGCGGTCGAAAAAGGAGACATGTTTCTGCAGTTCCGTCATGTTTGCAGGATCAAAGTGCGCGACGGCATGCCCCCCTTACAAAGATAAACAGTAACAGCATGCATCAACTCCTGGAAGTTCTCATGGTAACTCGGTACGGAACAAATCTCGTTAGCTGCAGCCCGCAGGTGCATCGGGGACTTACAGTTCAAGCTAAAGATCCACAGAAGCAGAAGAGCTGGGAGCTTCAGAGAAGCCGCTGCCAACGATTGTCGATGACCGGCCATCGTTGCCTCAACGATGCTCGTGAGTGTACGGCTCTGAGATGCATCGCATGGCCCTGCTTAAATAGATCCGGGAAGAGCTGCCTGCCAACTTGCGGAGCGTGGAACACACCAGCGCCAAGACACCCCCGGAAGAAAACGAAACGGAGCTTGTCGAGCACTACAACGTGAATGGTCATGAGCGTCTGACGCTGGAATGCAGACGCAGACTACCAACTTGTAGTGCACCTTGGAATGTGGGCCTCGGGCCGGTTCGAGAAATCGAGGGTGCAAACAAAACTTCTGTAAATTGCACGCATTCTTGGTGTGAATGGTCATGACTGTCTAAAGGTTACAGATTGGTTTCCAGGAGTCATGAGTGGCTCCATATTGCACACTCGGAATCTACGGTATGTGATCTGCTTTTACCAAAATCGGGAATACTGTTAATGCTATAATTGGCCGTGCTGATAAACTCAATTGCAATCTGAATCGACTGCATGTTAAGTCGCAAGAACCATTTTGACCATGAGCTGTCGCTATTGCTAAAGCCCATCGTGGTGTTTCGTCCTGGGGGCGCAGCTAGCGGCGGCACGGGCGGAACTCTCTCTTCCATCGGTGCGAGAGCGCGCAGGATTCCGAGGGAGCGACGCCTTCTCCGCCGCGGCGTAGTGGGAAGATGCGTGGAGGCGGAGCTACCGGCGGCGCTCCGGCTGCCGATTGCCTCGCCCAGTCGCCATGATGGTCGCTGCATGGCGTGGCCGCGTGTGGGCGACGTGGTAGTGTTTTTTCCCTAGCGGAGATGTGGATTGATGTGAATTGGACGTGGGTTTTGTTGGATAGCCCACGCATCCCACATAAATTTGTCGCAATTCCACATGTGTCCAAGAACATGGTATTTTTAGGCGCGCGGCGGACATCTCACATCATGATACTCCGGTTCTGGACTAAATGTCTAATTCTGAAAGAAAGGAAAACTAAATGTCTGGTTTTTGTTTTGAGAGAGATAGATGTTTAGGCGCGCGGTGGACACTACTCAAAAAATGTTGAACATGATCTGGATAAACTCCGAGAGTGTTGTCTGTCCTGATCACACCACTGCCTAAGTCGGGTATGATCTTCTCAACAAAATATATCAAATACTTAAACATTACTATATAACTAATCTATGATCTTAATATATTTTTATATCAAGAGTGTATTATCTTTTAGTTGCATTGCACAAAATAACTAATCGGAATGAAGTACGCACAGATGACTTCTTCACCGCACTACTTATCAGATTTTAAGGTGAACCAATATCAATTGATAATTACTTGTGCATAACTAAGTTTGATTGCATTCAAGATTATCAGAATTGCGATTCTCTTGTACGATTCTACGACTTAACGATCCAAACTAACCACTCGGATTCTACAATTTTGGTTTGTAGAATATACATTTTTGTGATTCTGATTGTTAAGATTCTACGATTTGCGCTCCTACCATCGGAACTCTGATCCAATTCAAAATCACGATTCTAAGCACCTTGCTTGCATTTGATTTCAAATAAGTTGACCATGTTTTCCATATGTACATCAACTTTAGTCGCACTACACAAAATGAACGGATGGTTAGTCGGAACTGTGCCAACTATTGGCCACACATTTCCGCACCCCAACCATTGCATTTGCATTGGATAGAATTATGAAGGGAATACTCAACCATAGCATTAAGATAATTTGGTCCCCATCATCTCATATGTATCAATCCCTACACTCAGCCAAGGTAATATCTGTCACTTCGACCGACCTATGCATAATTTTCTCAACATACAACTAACCTTAAGATGTGATCCACATACTGAGCACTCATATGATGGGCATCAAAGGGCAACAACAAAATAAAACATGCAACTCAAGCCAACCACGATTACCAAATAACCATTGTACAAAAGGGATCTACTCAAACAAATAGAAGATGTTGATGAAGACGGTGGAGTTGATGGAGATGATGGCGGTGATGACGATTCC